TTTACCTATGGTACAAAGGGAGATGCGAGGATCCGGACACAGTGTTGTTGTTTTGATGGAGGAAGAGGAATCGCCACCAACTCACTTTTCTTGTTCTTTGTCGCTTATTTGTCGGTAAGAGGACTCTAATTCTCATTTTGTTGTACTCTTAAGTTCTTATTACGTCATTTAAGGACATGATTTTATTTGTTACGGGCGAATATTCTTGTAAAAGATTGAAAGGAAGATGGAAGGTCTAGAGACGAGCTTTCATGGCGAGGGATTTTGATTTTTGCTTTTAGTTTCCTTAATTCTCTCTTTTTTCCTCTTATGGTACTTCGGTCGTTCGTTTCTATGGCGACTTTGTGTCTGGAGATCAAAATATGTTTAGATTTTTCTCCAGATATTACACAAGCAAGCGTATTTGCGTGTTGAAATTTGTAGCCTGTGGTTTTCTCTCAATTTTACTCTATATATTAGTTTCTCACACACACTTTTTTTTTTGTTGATATTATTAGTATTATGTAGATATCGTGTTATTTTGTAATTTCTGCAATTTTCTTTTCTTTTTTCTCTCTGGAACCGTTTCTCATATGTATCAGTCATTGTTGCTGCAGATCCATCCTTGCTGACAGGTCCTTCATGACAGGTCCTTCAGTATTACAGATCGGGTTTCGAGGCAAGCTGAAGAGTATAGGCATGGCATAATTTGCCAGAAGTTTCAATTGGATGTCCAAGCATAATCTGAGATCATGACAGATAGTGAAATTTAGGCCATTTTGTTACCTCACCTCCAGTAATGAACATGACAGGCACATGCCCATCTACTCCTCATGCTCTCAAAGGGTTCATAGGTAGCCTAGTCATACTTCACAAAGATACAAAGAGAACGCACATGCACAGATTGAGGTATTTTGGAATTATTCTGGAATGATACTATAGATGCAGACAATAGCAAGTGATAATTTTATTCATCTCCCCCTCTCCATCATACAGTAATATAGTCATGAGTATTAGATGAGATGTCAGGACCACGACTACCTGTTATCAGGTGTAAAGAATTAGGGAAGCCTCCCTCTGGTATTACGCACATCGACTCATTGTGGTCCTGGTTGATAAATAATAAAAACATACAACTTTGGTCCTGCTGTTTCATAACTGATCATAACTGATTTTAAAGCAAAAAATGTCTTCAAACTTGAATTTATGAAAAGAAAAACCTGTTCTGAGAGATTAACTGATACACATACATTTGTATATATGTTAATTCTTCTTTTCTTATAAGAAAGTGGAATATTTTATGTCTGTGATTTATAATAAGTGATGTGATAGACATGCACATAGACATGCACATAGACATGCACATAGACATGCACATAGACATGCACATGCACATAGACATGCACATAGACATGCACATAGACATGCACATAGACATGCACATGCACATAGACATGCACATAGACATGCACATGCACATAGACATGCACATGCACATAGACATGCACATGCACATAGACATGCACATGCACATAGACATGCACATGCACATAGACATGCACATAGACATGCACATAGACATGCACATAGACATGCACATAGACATGCACATGCACATAGACATGCACATAGACATGCACATGCACATAGACATGCACATAGACATGCACATGCACATAGACATGCACATAGACATGCACATGCACATAGACATGCACATAGACATGCACATAGACATGCACATGCACATAGACATGCACATAGACATGCACATGCACATAGACATGCACATGCACATAGACATGCACATAGACATGCACATAGACATGCACATGCACATAGACATGCACATAGACATGCACATAGACATGCACATGCACATAGACATGCACATAGACATGCACATGCACATAGACATGCACATGCACATAGACATGCACATAGACATGCACATAGACATGCACATAGACATGCACATAGACATGCACATAGACATGCACATGCACATAGACATGCACATGCACATAGACATGCACATAGACATGCACATAGACATGCACATGCACATAGACATGCACATAGACATGCACATAGACATGCACATGCACATAGACATGCACATAGACATGCACATGCACATAGACATGCACATAGACATGCACATAGACATGCACATGCACATAGACATGCACATAGACATGCACATGCACATAGACATGCACATAGACATGCACATAGACATGCACATGCACATAGACATGCACATAGACATGCACATAGACATGCACATGCACATAGACATGCACATAGACATGCACATAGACATGCACATAGACATGCACATAGACATGCACATAGACATGCACATAGACATGCACATGCACATAGACATGCACATGCACATAGACATGCACATAGACATGCACATGCACATAGACATGCACATAGACATGCACATGCACATAGACATGCACATAGACATGCACATAGACATGCACATGCACATAGACATGCACATAGACATGCACATGCACATAGACATGCACATGCACATAGACATGCACATAGACATGCACATGCACATAGACATGCACATGCACATAGACATGCACATGCACATAGACATGCACATGCACATAGACATGCACATAGACATGCACATAGACATGCACATGCACATAGACATGCACATAGACATGCACATAGACATGCACATGCACATAGACATGCACATAGACATGCACATAGACATGCACATAGACATGCACATAGACATGCACATAGACATGCACATGCACATAGACATGCACATAGACATGCACATGCACATAGACATGCACATGCACATAGACATGCACATAGACATGCACATGCACATAGACATGCACATAGACATGCACATAGACATGCACATAGACATGCACATGCACATAGACATGCACATAGACATGCACATGCACATAGACATGCACATAGACATGCACATAGACATGCACATAGACATGCACATGCACATAGACATGCACATGCACATAGACATGCACATGCACATAGACATGCACATAGACATGCACATGCACATAGACATGCACATGCACATAGACATGCACATGCACATAGACATGCACATGCACATAGACATGCACATGCACATAGACATGCACATGCACATAGACATGCACATAGACATGCACATAGACATGCACATAGACATGCACATAGACATGCACATAGACATGCACATGCACATAGACATGCACATGCACATAGACATGCACATGCACATAGACATGCACATAGACATGCACATGCACATAGACATGCACATAGACATGCACATAGACATGCACATAGACATGCACATGCACATAGACATGCACATGCACATAGACATGCACATGCACATAGACATGCACATAGACATGCACATGCACATAGACATGCACATAGACATGCACATGCACATAGACATGCACATGCACATAGACATGCACATGCACATAGACATGCACATAGACATGCACATGCACATAGACATGCACATGCACATAGACATGCACATGCACATAGACATGCACATGCACATAGACATGCACATGCACATAGACATGCACATAGACATGCACATAGACATGCACATAGACATGCACATAGACATGCGCATAGACATGCACATGCACATAGACATGCACATGCACATAGACATGCACATAGACATGCACATGCACATAGACATGCACACAGACATGCACATAGACATGCGCATAGACATGCACATGCACATAGACATGCACATAGACATGCGCATAGACATGCACATGCACATAGACATGCACATAGACATGCACATAGACATGCACATGCACATAGACATGCACATAGACATGCACATGCACATAGACATGCGCATAGACATGCACATAGACATGCGCATAGACATGCACATAGACATGCACATGCACATAGACATGCACACAGACATGCACATAGACATGCACATAGACATGCGCATAGACATGCACATAGACATGCGCATAGACATGCACATAGACATGCACACATACATGCACACATGCATGCACACATATATGCACACATACATGCACACATGCATGCACACATATATGCACACATACATGCACACATCCATGCACACATCCATGCACACATACATGCACACATGCATGCACACATACATGCACACATGCATGCACACATGCATGCACACATGCATGCACACATATATGCACACATACATGCACACATGCATGCACACATACATGCACACATACATGCACACATACATGCACACATGCATGCACACATGCATGCACACATATATGCACACATACATGCACACATGCATGCACACATGCATGCACACATACATGCACACATACATGCACACATGCATGCACACATATATGCACACATACATGCACACATGCATGCACACATGCATGCACACATGCATGCACACATATATGCACACATACATGCACACATGCATGCACACATACATGCACACATACATGCACACATACATGCACAAACACATATGCATATGCACATGCACATGCACATAGACATGCACATAGACATGCACATGCACATAGACATGCACATAGACATGCACACAGACATGCACACAGACATGCACATAGACATGCACATGCACATAGACATGCACATAGACATGCACACAGACATGCACATAGACATGCGCATAGACATGCACATGCACATACACCATACCTATATACAGAAACACACACACACACACACACACATTTTTGGACCATTAGTTTGTAGATATCAATTTGAAATCATTGTTTCGTATAAAACACCATAACAGTTTTAAGTAAGTTTCAGATGGACAGGCATATCAGTATGATATAGCAGGTAATAATAGTTCATTAACAGTAGACAAATAATCAAGAGAATTAACTTTCCGAAAGGTTATTTATAATATATATTTGTAATTATGATTTCTGGACTAGGCTGACTTGTTGGCACACCATTTTTTTCACACTTGTGCACATACACAGCACATGTACATGCTCTTAAACAGGTGTGCATGTGCTTGTAAATATAAGTGTATCAAGATAAAGATTGAATGAACAAAATAGGGATAT